CATTCAGTTTCTTGCTAACCAGGGCAGGTGCAATAGTTTTATTGATGTGCTCAACAGCCTTTGACACACCCTTGCCCAGGTAGCGGGTCTTGTCATTGTCACGCAGCTCTAGGGCCTCGTAGATGCCAGTAGAGGCCCCATTGGGCACAGCAGCTCGGAAGAGACCTTTGGAGGTGTAGAGGTCAACTTCCACAGTGGGGTTCCCACGAGAGTCAAAGATCTCTCGGGCGTGCATCTTGAGAATTGACATGTTTGATTTCTGGCTACCGGATCTCGTTGCCCAGGAAGGAAAAATAGGGTGCTACACACACAGAGATGCGCGTTGAAGTGGCGAGGTGCTCTGCGCGCCCAGTAGCCCTCTTTTTTGACTGTACTCACCAGCTCTATTATGTGAGACTATAGCTTGACAGAAATAATTTTTTTGACAGAAATAATCTTATTTTGTGCCTTCAGTCACTTTCTTAGATGAAGCTTCGAACTCATTTCAGATATCCAGACCATTATTTGGGCCTGTATGTGAGGAATGCTTTTCTTTAGTTCAGTAGGGCCACCTGATTTGAATTACCTCACCTCCTGAAGAACTTGTAACTCTCTTGCGACCTGAAGTAGCTGTGATCATGATTAGTGAGTTAATATTTTAGAAGTTAAGAAATGGTGAAGTAGGTGGTGAAGCCATGGCGTCAGGGAGGTTATCCATGTTGGCCCCCAGCTTCTACTCTCCTGGCCTGTCTGGTTCCCTCAAACTTCTCTTCCTCTTTGGCCCTCTACCTCTGTCTGTTGTCTTCTCCCTTCATTCCTCTTCCCTCCTTATTTCTTTTGTTGTCTCCTTTCCCATTTTACCTCTCAGTGCCCTTTATTTTTATTCAAGCAAGTTTCCTTTCCTCTTCCACTGATAGCTTCCAATCATAATGTAGAATGAAAGAAATTTAGTTCTGTGTTCAGTTGTTTTATATTCTTGAGTCACTTTTTTTTTTTTTTTTTTCATTAAGTACAGGGTCTCACTACACAGATCGGACTTGCAATGATCCTCCTGTTTTTAGCCTCCCAGTTACTGGGATTACAGGCATGCGCCACCATGCCCAGTCTCAGTCACCGTCTGAGTGCACCTCAGGGACTGAGCCTGCAGGGCATGCTGGGTATTGAACCGCAGTCCCAAGCAGGCCCTTTAGTCCACTGAGCTATCTGGAGCTATCTGGCCAGCCTTCTTGAGTCACTATTAAAATACCTTTTTCCAACAGAATCAGTGTTTTCCTCTTGAAAGAATTTACAGTTAAAAATATGAAGTTGAGTAACTATTACCAATTAACTTGGGGCAGCTTTTATTCCTTGTGGTTCTTTTGAAGAGGCAGCACCCTTCCTTGACACTGCCTGTGATCAACATATTCCATGCGAGGACAGTGTAGCCTGTGGCGTGGGTCTGTCTTAGACTGCAGCTGGCTGTTGTGCATTCACGTGTAGCTTAAAATCCAAGCCATACAGTCGCTCTGTGGCAGCCCTGGGTGGGAACTGACCCCGACCTCCGGAGCTCTAAGCTGGCCTCCGCCCACCACATCCTTCATCCTAGGCGCTGAGGCTTTGAACGTGTAAACGATGTAAAAAGTTTGAGACGAGATGGTTATGCTTCCCCACGCTGGGAATCTACCATATGTTAGAATGAACATCCTTAGATTCCTGAAGCCCTTCTCACTGGCAGATAGCGCGGTTGGATCAGACGCAGGGCCCGAGGCCGGCTCTGATGGCAGGCGTCTGGCTTCCCTCTTGGCCTTTGTCTGGACAGGCGAGGAGACGCTTTCAGATGAACCCTTTTCTTTCAAAAAACATTTCAGCATCTGTCATAAAATGTACTTCTCCTAACCTTTATTTTAACACTTGCTTCATATTTTAAATAATACGTTGCCTCTTGTTAAACTGGAAAAAACCGGTTTGCTTTGAAACCTTTCCTAGGAAAAGAATCCTCAGGCTGCCCCCTTGTGTTGAGATGGGGAAAAAGCATGCCGTTTCCTCCGGGCTTCAGCCTGGGCCTTTCCTTCTGTCCGGGTGGGTTTCTTTGGCAGGTCCTTGCTTCCTGAGTTTGTGAGAGCCTGCCTTTCGCAGTCCGTGTCATTTCGTTGATCGTGATAAAGGCGTAGAGGGTCCTTCTGTGGAGGTCAGCACATGCTTTTACTAGGGTTTGCTATAATTAGTATCTGGAATGTTCCTCTTTTTTCCTGTTGAGTTGACATGAGCTAATCTCCTGTGTTCTCCCCAGGGCCAAGGAGAGCATGTACCACGCTTTGGGCTATAGCACCATTGTGGTGTTGCAGGCTGTCATGACCTTTGAGCAGCAGGACATTCAGAATGGCATTTCTGCCATGAAGGACGCCTTGCAAACCTGCCAGAAGTACGCCTGAGTCTTTAAGTATATGACATAAGGCTCCAGACCCTTATGCCTGTGTGATAAAATGGGTGCTGTTTGTCTGACTGAAAGCTCTGTGGTTGGGGTTAGTCAGAGCCAGAGTAGAGTTTAGCTTCAGAGCTTCATGGCCTCATGCAATTGCATATAGTTAAAAATTTTTTTGTCAGGACGTATAGTAAGTATATATATATATATATATATATATATATATAAAATTTTATTTATTTATTTTTTCCTGTACTGGGGATTGAGCCTGGGATCCTCACATTGAGCTGTATCTCTAGCCCTTTAATTTAAAAAATGGTTTTAAAATTATTTTTTTTTAATGTATTTAGTACAGGGTCTTACTACACAGGTCAGACTTGTAGTGATCTTCCTGTTTTCAGCCTCCTAAGTGCTGGGATTACAGGTGCGTGCCACCATGCCCAATCTCAGTTGCCATCTCAGTGTGCCCGGCGTGACATGCCAGGGATTGAACCCTGGTCCCTGTGCTTGCCTAAGCAGGTGCTTTTGTCTGCTGAGCTATCTGGCTGGCCTAGCCTTTTAAATTTTTTGAGATAGGATCTTGCTAAATTTCCCGGTCCAGGTTCAGATTTGCAAGCCTTCTGCCTCAGCCTCCTGGAGTGCTGGGATCACAGGCATGCAGATCCCCCCTCCCCCAACCTTTCCGCTGTTTTTTTGCTGGCTTGGAACCTGAGCTACAGAGAAAGTCTGAGGAAGGTTTCAGTGGGTCCAGCTCTGCACATCTCTTGGGGCCCCCGGGGCAGATGAGGTTTAGTAGTGCTGCGTGCCATGCCACATCAAGCAGGACTTTTATGTGGGAGATGCTGCACTTACAGAAGAGAATGTTTTATTTACCCAGGATGATATTAGGACAGTTTTGATTGGTAAAAATGAGATAATTTTTAAAGTTTTATTTTAAGCTTTATGGTGCATATAGAAAGCCCTAGTATGAGCTATTACTGGTATTAGTGGTGATTAACATAGGTAAAATCAACCCATACGCTGTTAGGTTGTAAGCCATTCAAATGAAGAGCATTTTCAAATAGTGCTTTCTGAGTCCACTGTCAACTGGTGCATACTCTCACCAGGGAGGTCCTGGCTTCAGCCCTAGAGGAGGGAAGGCGCTGTGCAGGTTTAGTGCTCTCTTCTGCATGTGTGTTTGTCCACACAAGAGCTTAGTGACATGCATCGGCCGTCCACAGTTGCCAGCCCACTGCCAGGAGCTGGGTGTGTGCTTTTGGCGAAGGTGGCTCCTGCCTTGAAGACTTTGGGGTTCAGAGTCCTAGCTAATGACTCTTGGGTGTGATTGTGATTGAAATGAGTTTCAAAGGAACATTGGCTCAGTCTGATTTGTTGGAATTTTTTTCTCTCTGTTTCCCATATTCGTCTACTCAATGCAGATATAGGAAGAAAAGCACAGTTGTAGAGTCTTTCTCAAGTCTCCTTTCTCGAGGATCACTAGAACAGCTGAGTGAAGGTAAGAATTATTTATATAATTTTAAGTTTCCTTTTTAAAAAAGAAATTAAAGAATGTTTATGTCCATGAAGTTCACTCCCGGAGTGTAGAAAGCAGATGGAGTGGCATTTTGTGTTCCCTCCGTGCCCTTCCAGAAGTAAGCATCATGGATGGTCGGTCTTGAAGCTTTGCAGGCTTTTCAGTGTACACGTGCAAAAGTACCCGTGAGGGCCACGGGCTTTTGCTATTCTTATGTTGCTCACTTTTTGCAAGCATGCAGTGGTGTCAGACGGGTCCACACCGTGTTGTTGTCCCAGCCAGTGCGTACAAATTTGCATGCGTTCACATCTGTGCAGCAGTATTGAGCAGGAGGGGTGTATCGTAGCATTCCTTACTTGCTTACAGGTTTTATTTCTTTACTGTTACAAATAATATTGTCCTAAAATTCTTGTGCCTATGTTCATGCATTTTTCAAATATTCTATAAGATAGAATTCCAAGTGTATTAGGAAAAAGTGTGTTAGAATAGAGTTTCAAGAATTATTACAATAGTTGGAAAATTACAGGTATTTCCATTTTTTTCTATGAAAATTTAAGCCATCTTATAGTCTTAACCATCCTTCTGAGACTTTGAGTTTTCTACAATCTATTATATATTTTTTGAAATAAGAGTTACTTTCATATCTTTTAAAAAGTAAAAATGCTTTACAAAATGGAAAGTGTTTAGTTTGTGCATAGTTAAGAAAATCAGGACTTGAAGAATGTCTGGTGAGGGGCTGGGAAGATAGTTCAGTAGAATAAGCGCTTCACTGGCAAGCTCAAGGGTCTGAGTTCAATCCCAGTTCTGCCAGAAAACAAACAAACAAAAAAAGGGATTACAGTAAAAGTTTCGTGATCAGCCATATTTTATTAATGTTACACTCTAGTAAGAGGTTGACCAGAAGTAGCATCCAGGCTGTCCTTTAGAAGAAAAATGTATGTCCTTTGAAGGTCTCTGCCATCCCAGGAGAATTTGTATCTGTGCTTTCATTGTCAAACTTGTTCTCTGGAAAACACAGAGTGCTAGGAATAGGCCTATTTAATTGAAGTAAGAACCATTCTGGAAACTGCTGTCAAAGGCCTTCTTATTGGTCAAGGAAAAATGTGACACATATTCTTGAGTATGTTTTATTATGCAGCTTTGCTTATTTCGTTACCCAACTGTTATCAGCTAGTTATGAAGGGTAGTGAACTCGGGATCATTTGCGCAGGGTGTGAGCTTAGAGCACTGAGGACAGAGCGGCTTACAGCACGTTTTCCGTGAGGGTGTGGTGCTGATTTCCACAGCTGCTGGAACTAGAGTGCTCCAAAGGCATGAGATGTGTCTCCTTCACATGGTGTTGCCTGGCAGTGCAGAGCTATCTGATGCAGTTGGCAGTAGCGGCCCGAAGTCCTAGAGAGAGGCAGTGGAGGTGAAGTGGGCGCCAGAGGAGTCAGACTCTTCCTCTTGCCCTCCATTCTGCTCCTGTCGGAGGGGCTTCCCCCGGCCCAGTGGTGCTGCCTCCTTGTTCTTTGCAGCATGAAAGGGACTTTGGTGATTTTTTTTTTTTAAACCTCAGTTTTAGAAAGAATGACACGGTGTTTTTGGTATGAACATAAATAATAATACTTTTAAAATAATACCTCACGTAAAGATATGATTAAAAATATGATCAAAGTGCATACATATTGAAACTTCTCCCAAAAACGTGACATTAAAGAAGGAGCTAGAGGAAGAGGGGAGTTATTTTTGGGGGGGTGATTAAAGTATGTTATACACATGTACAAAGCTCTTGGAATAAAACCCATTATTTACATATAAGCAGCGTGCACTTATAAAGGGGAACAAAGCAAACAGAAGCCAAAGTCTCTTAGCAGACATAATTTATAAGATGCAATCCAAAATTATGCGGAAAAGCCAGGTGAGGAAAAACCTCAATTTGAATGAGAAAATAAGTTAATAGATACTAATAGTCAAATGTTCTCACATAATTGTGGAGATCATCTGACGAAGATTTTAAAGTAACTATCACAAAAACTGGCCCACAAACAGTTGTGGACACACTCTTGGGACAAATGCAAAGCTAGAAAAATCTAGACAATGGAAGTTATAAAAGGAATCAAAAGAAAATTTGAGAACTGAAAAGTGCAGTACCAAGATTAAAAAAAAGCAGCTCAGTGGTGGGGTTCAGTAACAGAATGTAGGTTAGAGGAAGAACAGTGCCAATTACCCAGCGTGGATGTCAGAGACAAAATAGGCTGTAGAAATGGAGCACAGTTTTGGGGACCTGTGGCACAAAAGCTCTCAGTCATGTCCCTGGAGCAAAAGAACAGAAGAAAGTGGAAGGCTGAAAAATATTTTGGGGGAGAATGCCTGAAAACCTGCCCAGATCTGTCAAAAGAACAAATTCAGGAAGCTCAGCAAAGCCCTGGAAAGGATAGATGGAAGGAAGTTCCCACTCAGACTCATCATCTTCAGAATGTTAAAAACTAGGCAAAGAAAAAGTTGCCTCACACACACACGTAATACGGAATTTTCACGTTGGCAAGTAGGTCTTAATTACTAGAATTGTAACTGGCTTTATTTTTATGAGACCTTTAATAATATTTAATATTTTCCAAAAATTAAATGGCATTTCTCAGCTCTTCCCTCTGCCCAGTCCTCTTGTCCCCACTCCATGGTAGGATTCCTTTACTATAGATGTTGTTCCTGTTAAGTCACTTGCCTGCAAAGTGAAAACAAAGCACCACCACAGAAAGACAAAAACTTTTCTTGGTGTTTTCATTTAACACTAACCGTCTAACCTCTGTAGCCTGCTCTTTAGGGTGTTCGGAGGGGATACTAAGTGGCCAGGTCACCTGTACATCAGAGCAGGGTTTAAATTTGATTTGCTTTTTCCTAAACCACGAGTCTTTCCTCTGACCCCACACCTCCTCCTGCAGAGGGGTACAGAATAGTTGCCTGTGTAGGAGGGAAGGGTTGGATTGTTTTCTGTCCAAAATCTTGAGTAAGTACTACTGTATTATATATTTACAATGTCTTCGGACAACACACCTTAGGAAATCTGGAATAAAGCAAAAAATTAGATTTTACTAATTAAGCCTAAAGGCTTTGCTTTGCGAACATTTCAAGGCGTCATGCCTTTATTTCCTTCAGAGGACTGGTACGTTCATGTACCAAGTTGCATGGCGAATGCATCAGTATGCGTCACAAACATACAGTAACAAAAAAGAGAGATTCTGGCAGGTGTCTGCCCATAAATGCCCAGTGTCTCATTTTGAGAGCTAAGAAGCTGCTCAGTGTAAGTCAATCATAAAGAAATATAAGACTTATAGGTTAAGTTACTTTTTATTCCCAGTGAGTTTGGCTGCTACTACAACCCAAACAGACTTTGTGTTCGAGGGAGCATGTCAAAACATTGTAGCTGTAAGATGGGATTTGTTTTCCGCTTGGTAATTTTCATTTACATCCTTGCGTGTTTGGGGGAGTTGAGTGTATTGCATTAAACTTACGAGCTTGATGTAGAACACACTTGTTCTCCCTGGAGGCTGTTGGACTGCTCTGAATGGGTTTGGAATTGAGTTTAGGAAGAGGTGTTTAAGCACATGGGCTAGGGCCTGAGAGGGACGGGATATGAGGAGCACACACGCTCAGAGTAGAGCTCACGCTGGCTTGTTTCTGGCTCTTCTTTCTTCTTCTGTCCTCTGTGCTGACTTCGTGTGTCATGGGCTCACCCTGGTTTCTTCAGCCTCTGCTCAGCTCTCAGCAAGGTCTTCCGAGTCCAGCCCAGACGCTGCTGCTCGGGGGCCTTCATGGTTGAGCCCCAGCTGACCATCTTCACAGCCTCATTGCCGTCTCCCCACTTGATACACCTGAGCTACGGCCAAGGGTGCCTTCTGCCCGCACCCCAGGGGAGCCCTGCGTTGTCCTCCTTTTGTGCCTTCCATAGTAACCGGCAGTAGTGTCATCTCCTCTGAATGTGTCCTCTGTCAGCAGTCTTCCCAATCCAGTTGTCAGCCTTAATCACCCTAAACAGTTCCTACTTCGTAACGTTACCTGGGAAGAGGATATTCAGGTGACTCAGCAGAAATAAACCACTGGTTTGTACCCCACTGACGCAGTGAGAAAATCCAAAGACGCACTTGGAGGGGTGGCATTCAAGGACTGTAATCATGATTCTCTGTGCTCCCGGCTGGCGTGTGTGCAGGTGGCCGTAAGTCATCACGTTCCGCCTGGTGGGGTGTGGCCCTGTGTCAACATGCTGCTGGGCACCGCAGGTGCTTGCTTATTTATTTATTTATTTATCGTGGTACTGAGGACTGAACTAGGGACCTTGCACGTGCCAGGTAGGCACTTAAGCCACTGAGCTGTCTCCTCAGCCATCAGGTGCATAGCTACTTCTCTGTAAATTCAATATTTGGAATAGGAGCAAGACAAGAAGATGAACCCGTGTGTGTGTGTGTGTGTGTGTGTGTGTATGTGTAAATGAAGAACATGTTTTTATTTTCCAGTTCGATTAACAACAGTTCTAGTAACACAGACATACACTAGTTTTTTTTTTTTTCCATTAGTTACTCACTATAAAAATGTTTTTCCAGAAAGCACTGATGTGGGCCAAGGGCAGTAATTCTTGTAGCTAATGTTTACCACGTGCTTAGTGCATGTGGGATGTTGTGCCTGCGGTGCCTAACTTCTTCTTTTGCACAGCAGGGACTTTAGTAGTGAAGTGTGAAAGTGAGGAGGCCAGCAGAGAGCAGGAGAGGAGCTCAGCCGGGTTCTGCAGCAGGGGCACAGAGCCTTTCCTGAAGGCTTTCCTAGCCCAGTGATGGCTTGGCCCTAACACAGGGGTAGTGCTAACTTCCAGTCAAGTCTCCCTTTGCCTGCGGCGTGCACATTGGGTGCACGGGGTGGGGCTTTTTCAGAGAACCCTCGAGAGTTGCTGCTTTCCTTTCTGATGAATGGGGTGTGTGGTCGTTGTGGTGCCTTAATAGCTTAGAACATTTAACATAGTTCTTTGCAGTCTTTATAGCTGTTAAATTTTTCAAGTTACTGTTAAAAAGTGGTTCTCTCTTTTTTTCTTCTTGTCTTTCAGGCTGGTCTTGAGCACTTGCGCTCACTGTGTGGGCTGTGTTCCCCTTGAACTTGTGGCCGCTCTCCTGCCTTAGCCTCCTGAGTGCTGACATTATGGGCGTGCCCCACCACCCTTGGCTTACTCTTTTTTTCTTTTCTTTTCTTTTCTTTTCTTTTCTTTTCTTTTCTTTTCTTTTCTTTTCTTTTCTTTCTCTCTCTCTGTCTCTCTCTCTCTCTCTCTGTGTCTCTCTCTGTCTCTTTCTCTCTCTCTCTCTGTCTCTCTCACCTTTTCTTTCCTTTTTTTCTTAAAACTTTTTAAATTTGGTTTTCTTTTATGAGTTGAATTTGGGTCTCTGATACCAAGAATCTGACTCTGCGATGATGTTGGAGTGGGACAAGTGAGGACTCTGAACATTTCTCACACTGCAGGGAGAGCCTGTGGGACCAAGCGCAGGTTACCATTCCCTCCTGCCTGGAAGCACCAAAGCAGTCTAGGTTTTTGTGTTTCTCTTGGGCTCATTTATTCACAGGTCTTCTGAACATGGCAGAGCAATTACTGTGAATACTGGATATTCCTTAATATAATTTTATTTGTTTTTAACAGAGGAAATGCATGCTGAAATCTGTTACGCTGAGTGTCTCCTACAGAAAGCAGCGCTCACATTTGTGCAGGTAATGAACGTCTGCCGTAGAGTTGGTGCCACCTGGACTTGCGCTTGGACCCCTGTGGCTCCTCCTGGGTCGCTGCTCTTTGGGCTTAAGAGCAGTAATGAGATGCTTGTTACTTTGATAAACTTTCCCTGAGAAGGCGTCAGGGGAGCTTCGTTCCTACCCAGGTACACAGAGTCTATTTCAAATGCTTGTCTGCTGGGACTCTCATACTTGTAAAGGAATTGCCCTGCCAGTGCCGTGCCCAGTTCCAGGTTGCCTCTCTGGGAGAGCCGTGCAGTCACTCCAGCCTGTATGAGGCGCGGGGAGGCCTCTCCCTCGCCGGGAGCCCGGGCAGCCGGGCTTTTTCCTCGCGCCCTGTCGCAGCGAAGTGCACCACTGCTCTTGCTGATCAGCGCTCTTCCGTGTGTCCTCCAGGTTTTGCTTTCCTCCTTCTATGTTCTCATTCTCTTTTCTAGTGTTTATTTTTCCTTTAGAAGAGTTTTTAAAAGTTGCTGAACAAAACCATAAATTATTTTTATAAGACACTTTAGACACTTCTAGAAACTGTTACGCTCAGTGTCTGCTTCTTCCACTACTTAAAAGACATAGATTTCCCCATGGTGGCCTCGCGTGATCGTGGCAGCTGTAGAGGTGGGGACGAGATTGTAAGGAGGCAGAAGGAAACACAGCTGTAGATGGAAAATGTATTAAGTTCTGCTTTAAGTCGTTCTGAGAGTGCCTTCCATTCTTTTCTAGAAATTGAGCTCCTATGCCAGACCCTGGTTTAGTAAAATGGGCTCTCTGTGGCATTACCTAAGACTGGTGTGTTACAAAGGCTGACTCATGATAGCAGTCACTGCATAACCCGGCACACCGTGCTGCTGGCCGCAGGGCCCTTGTTTTTTCTGGTGTATTTTCTAAATAGGTATTTGACAGCCAAATATTAGACTTAAAACTTATATCTGGGGACTTCAAATTAACCATGTAGAGGTAGCCGTGGCTTTCCTCATTTCGTCATGCCCCTACACCGTCATGTGCATATTCACGCTGCTTTATTCTTTCAAAGACTTTGCAGCTCTGTCTCTTCCTGTCTGTCCAAGCGGTGCGTATCAGCTTTTGCCTGGGCTGGGCTATAAGCAACCGCACAGTGCTCTAATTTATTTTTACCTCATCTCATTCTGCATACTGCAGCTGAGTGCCCTTTCAGAAGTGGGACAGAGACCTGTCAGCCTTCGGTGGCTGTCATCAGCAGTGGCTGTGTTCTGTATCAGAGTATCACAAATGGGAGACGTTTGGATGGGCCTGCTGCCTCCCACCAGACTCCCTGCCCTCCTGCTTGCATCTCCTCCAGCGCTGCCGACGGGTCCGCCTTGACTCTAGCGGCTCGGCTCGGGGAGCGTGGCTTTGCTGTGGGGGCTGCTCCCTCCTCAGCAGTGGATTCTTCAGCAGCGCTGCTGTGTGTGCCCAGGGGTGGCAGGGACACTGTGATGCCTCAGGCTGCCCGGCCTTTCCGCAGGCATTCTTCTTGCTTGCATTGTTTGCTACTGTTTTGCCTCTTGATTTGGCTCCTTCCACTCATTCTCGTATGCTTTAAACTATCCCCTGTTGTGAGGAAATTCTTTCCTGGCCGGTATTGGAATTTGTGCAATTATGAGAGTCCTTAAAATAAGGCAAATATTTGAGTGGTGAATTTAGTATTTGCTGATTCTTCCAATAATCAGAATATTAGCTAGTGAATAAAACTAGTAAACTAAATTCAGTTTTTCTTTTGCTTCAGAAGGATGTTCACATGCATAGGACTAAACACAAAGGAATTTTTTCCAGTGACAATAAACTAGAGAAACCACCTCCTTGGAAGTGTGGAACACTGGACTGCCTCTACTGGCACTATTAGGGTCCCTTTTAATATGACTTATTCAGGGTCACTTAGAGTGCTGATGGCCACCAGGCAAAGAGAGGTGATGATTCCTCCACCTCCACCCCACTAAAACACAATTGCATGTTAGTGACAGTCACTTCAACCTTCAGACCAGTTCAGTATTCAGACCTGGTATGTTTGGTCCTGAAATGGGTATGGGAAAACAAAACAAAAACTCAACAAAACATTTGAAAAGGGACGGGGAGCCGGCCAGATAGTTCAGCAGATTCATGTGCCTGCTTAGGCAGATGGGGGGGACGAGAGGGGTGTTGATCCCCAGCTTGCCGTGCAGGTCCCACCCTCGGAGCGTGCTGAGACAGCCCTGAGACGGTATGGTGGCACGTGCCTCTAATCCCAGCACTTCAGAGGCTAAAAAACGGGAGCATCACTACGAGTCTGATCTGTGTAGTGAGACCCTGTAGACCCTGTACTAAAAAGAAACAAAACAAAACAAAAAACAACTGCTCAAGAACCCTGTGAAATAGTCTCTTTTACTTAGTACTGTGAACCAAAAAGTTTACCCTTGACCCCTTAAAGTCACCTGTTTAGTTCTAGACTGTTGAACCCAGAAGACTGGCCAGTTAGCGATACGTGAGTTTGAACTTCATTGGATTACTGATTGGGAAGGATTACTTCCTTAGAAAAAAAGTAACACAATGATTTAAATATTTTTTTGTTGTCTTCTAACTTGTATGAAGAATAACAAAGAGCCCCTTCAAGTATAAGGCAAGAAGATACGTTAATTTTGAAATTATGTCCTTAAAACATGTTTTTCTAGTTATACAAATATGCAAGTGTCAGGACAGTTTAAAAAGTTTTTACTAAGTGCTCTAATTATTTAATTATTTTCAGGATGAAAATATGATAAACTTCATCAAAGGTGGACTGAAAATTAGAACAAGTTACCAAATATATAAGTAAGTTAAAAAGTAAAATATGGCTTTTACATTATTCACGTGCTTGTACTACTTTGTTTTTTGCAAGTTTTATTTATTTATTTATGTAATTTTTTTTTTTTTGAACCGGGGATTGAACTCAGGCCCTTGCACTTGCCAGGCAAGCGCTTATTCTACTGAGCCATCTCCCCAGCCCCATGAAAGTTTTAAATATTTGGTATAACTGATCGTGTGTGTGTGTGTGTGTGTGTGTGTGTGTGTGTGTGTATTAGTAACAATGTGCTTGATTTTTGGTTATGTATTCTGTGCCACAGACACAAGTTAAACTTTAAATAAAGTTTAAGGGTAAAAGAGTAGAAAAGAGAATTAACATAATTTCTGATGAGATAATGTAATTTCTCCTAAGAACAGTTTATACATTTCAAGAGGCTGGTGTGTTTTCGTGTGCTTCTAGAGTCGCTGTGCACACTAGACATTTCTGCGGGGATGGACATGTTCACGAGGCTGGCTTAGAAAGTTTTTGTTATCTTCTTATTTTCTGTATACTTACTGATTTTTATCCAGTCATTCTGTCATTTACTGAGAGGATTAAAATCTCCAGTTGTCAAGTGGAATGGAGCATCTCCTGCTTCGGCTTTGTTAGCGTTTGCCTTGTACGCCCGTGTGGGTCCTCTGCTGTTAGCTCATACGTGTTTATCATTTTGTTTCCCTGATGAATTAATGTTCTTGTTATGGGATTCCCCATTTAACTCTGGTAGTATTCCTTGTCTTTTTTTTTATATATTTTTTTTAATTTTTTATTTTTTTTTTATTTATTTGAGAGAGAGAGAGAGAGAGAGAGAGAGAGAGAGAGAGAGAGAGAGAGAGAGAGAGAGAAGAGAGGGAGGTGTGTGTGTGTGGCCAGCTCAGCCCACCAGGGGGCGGGCTGGCTGGCATGTGGTGCTGGGGGATTGAACCGCGGTCCCTGATGCTTTGCTAAGCTTGTTCTAAGTAGGTGCTTTAGACCACTGAGCCATCTCTCCAGCCCCAGTATTCCTTGTCTTGAATCTATTTTTTCTAGTATTATCCAGCCACTCTTGGCTTTTTTAAAAAATATTTGTTTTTTCTCCTTAGTACTAGAGAGCCAACTGAGGGACGCCTTACCATTGTACTGCACCCCTGTTCTTTCATTGACATTCACTTGGGGGCAGGATCTTGCTAAGTTGTGCAGCCTGGCCTTGCACTTGCAGCTCTTCTACCTCATCCCCCAGGGAGCTAGTACTATGCCATGTGTCACTGTGTTGGCTTGTATTTTTGAATAGTCTTTGCCTAGTATATGTTCTTTTAAGCCTGTCTTTTATATTAAAATCACATACCTTGCAGATGCACAGAATTGAATAGTGAGTACGTTTACACTGAAAGCTATCATTGTTGGGCCTGCCAGATAGCTCAGTGGAGTAAAGCACCTGCTTAGGTGGATGAAGGGACTGGGGTTTGATCCCCAGGATGCAGTGCTGGCCTCACAGCCAGGGTGCACTGAGATAGCGATTGAGACTGGGCGTGGTGGCGCATGCCTCTAATCCCAGCGCTTGGGAGGCTGAGAACAGGAGGATCACTACAGTTCTCATCTGTGTAGTGAGACTCTGTAGACCCTGTACTAAATACATAAAAAAAAAACAAAAAAACAAAACTATCATTGTTTTCTGTTTGTCTCACTGTCTCCTCCCCTCATTTTTTGTTTTCTCTTTTGCTTTAATAAACATTTAAAGATTCTAGTGTATTTCTATATTGTCATCTTAATTATTTCTATTTTTTTGGCAGTTGTGGTAGAGATTATATGTGATTTTATCTTAGAGTTAATATTGTACCACTGCACATAAATGTAAGAACTTGACACAAGTGTGATTTCATTTTCTACCTCTTGTCTTGTGTACTGTTCTTAGGGTGGTCCATGGTATACCCATGTGTACTGAAAATCTTTAAAATCACATCGGACTTTTGTCTTCAAAACAGTCATGTATTATGGTCTTCTGTATTTTCCTGTACTTTTGCTATTTTAATGTTCTTCATTTATACTTGTTTACTTTCAGAGTTCAGGATTTCTTATTATATATGTCTACTTTCAACAAACTTCAATTTCATTTATTTAAAATTGCCTTCACTTTTTCCCGTCGTTCTCAAAGGTATTTTTTCTTCTAGCCCTTAAGATTGCCATTCCGCTGTGGTAGGCTTTCCTCATGTGCAGTCAGAAGCCAGTTGTCCTCACTGTGTCTTATCTAATGGTAGGAAAGGCTCTTCCGGCCTCTTTGAAGATGTTTACATCTGTAAATTGCAGCAGTTTGGCTCTCTTAAGTCTGAGTGTGATTTTGAGAAATTTGGTGTCACTATTTCTTCAAATATTTACTTTTTCTTTCTTGTGTCCATTATTTTTTAAAATTGTCCTTTAGATATTGAGCTATCACAGAGCTTCTGTACTCTATTCTCCTTTCTCTGAACGGTACAATTTCTGTCCTAAGGCGCGCTTAATTTGCTTAGGCTGCAAATTCTTTTTAGTCTCGGGGTGGTCAGCACCTGAAGTCTCTGCTTCATTATTTGCTGGCTTGTCTTCACTTTTCCTCGGAATTTTCCCAATGCTCACATAGTATATAGTTCAGCCAAGAATCGGAGTGTTTCCAGTCCACGTCGTCCTCCACATGTGAAAATCCCCAGTGCAGTATAATCACCGTGGCAGCCTTGAGCTCTGTTCTCTAATTTTTAAGCCAATAGGACCATGGCTTTGTGTGTGAACTCTGTGTAGTCCATGTTAAGTGGCCTGGGCTTGCTTTCAGGCGAGTTAATCTGACGTAAGCTGCTCTGCCATTGCTGGAAGCAGAGGCAAAACTTAGTATTTTAAGAGCTTATATCTTACAAATTTTATAAATTTGTGTCCCATTCAAATCCTGCAAAAGTTATTGGAGAGGGCTACAGATTTGGGGAAAATGACATACTATTTTGAGATTTCCTCTCAAATGGTTTATTTAGTGTATTTTAAAATTTAATTTTTAAATTTAATTTAATTTTTGTATGCTTTACTTTTTTGAGACAGGGTCTTACGATGTATTCAGTCTAGGCCGGCCTCAAATTCATAGTGTAGCCCACAGTGGCCTCTAACTCATGGTGATTCTCCTGCCGCAGCCTTCTGAACACTGGGATTACAGGCATGTGCCACTTTGCCTGTCTTTCAAGTATTGTTTTAGAAGAAAAAAAGACTAAAGGATTACTTTTTTAATCAGCAGAATTTAAAGTATTAAAATAATAGCCAAAAGAATTCAAATAATGTCATGTCAAAGACTTGTCAGTGGAATGGATCATAGACATGTACTTGGGAATTCAGTGTATCTCCTGTAGATGTGGGTTTCTCTTTCAAAAAAGTAGAAAGAAGAACTGGCGAGATAGCTCAGTTGACTAAGTGCTTGCTTAGGTAAGCGCAGGGGCCAGGGTTCAATGCCTGGCACCGCATGCTGAGCCAGCCCCTCCCCTGCGCACCCTGAGCTGGCAATGGAGTCTGGGCGAGGTGACACACGCCTGTAATCCCAGCACTAGGAAGGAAGAAAACAAGAGGGTCACTATGAGTCGGAGCTGTGTGGTGAGACTCTGTACAATAATAATTAAAAACAAAAAAGTAGAGATAAATATTTTTGATAAAATTGATTTTTTTTAAGAAAAAGGGCATTAATACAAAAACAAATCCATATAAATTTTTTATTAAGCTATTTTGAAAGATCATTAGTAGAGAACAAAAGAAAATATGGTACTAAAAGCCTTTAAACTTTTATGGTACTAAAAGCCTTTAAACTTTTATTTTATTTTATTTATTTATTTTTTTAATTTTATTTATTTATGTGTGTGTGTGTGTGTGTGTGTGTGTGTGTGGCCAGCTCAGCCCACCAGGGGGCGCGGCTGGCTGGCATGTGGTGCTGGGGAATTGAACCACGGTCCCTGTGCTTTGCTAAGCTTGTTCTGAGTAGGTACTTTAGACCACTGAGCCATCTCTCCAGCCCTAAACTTTTATTTTAAATTTTCTGCTTTGAACTAATTTTAGAATTATTATAAGAAATTTTAATATTACTAGCACGCTGTAGAACCCTAGAATAGCGGGTGTAGGCATTTAGCCTTCAGCTTTCCTTTTAATCTTAATCTTTCTTTTAATTTGTTACTGTTTTTCTTTGTCTTTCATGACTAACATTTTAAATGAATGTTGGCAGTTAATTCATAGGACATCTCTCAACGTGGATTTGACCTGTGTTTTAGTGATTAAATTGAGGGTATGAATCTATGGCAGAAAGACTGTGGCAGTGATGATAGGGGTAAACGATGTCAGTGTAAAGGCCTTCTTTAGGTATGGCAGAAAGCTAGCAGCCGTAAGAGAATAACCACCAGGAAAGCACTCAAAATTTTACTATGGTGAAAATGCACCATGGAAACAGTGCCGGTGGGGATGCGGTGTATGTGGCCCAGCGCAAATGCCCGGATGGCAGGCACGTGGTGGTCAGAGTCTAGAAGGGGTCCTCTAACTAGTTGTTCCTGTTACTGAGAGTTAGATCCATGGACTTGTTAGATTCAGGTTAAATTAATTTGGCTAGAAAACGTTATAAATGAAGTTTCAGGTTTCATGTAGTTGCAACACATTAGGTGATGCATATTACTCCTTATTACCTTGTAAAAATGTGTCCACCTGATAAACAATTTCCAATTAATACCCATTTTTATATCTTGCTCATTGAATTGTATTCCTCTGATTAAGTAATTGCTTATAGGAGGTGATATGAGTGGAAAAGAGAGAAATACAGCAAATCTCCAACTTGTGAATGAACTGCATTCTGTGAGAATGTGCCTAAGTTGGAGTCCTTCCTGCCCGACCGAGTGACTCTTGCACAGTATAGCTATGAACGTTTGCAGATGATCACAAGTTGAGGACTTGCTGTATACAGAAGAGAAATTAAGGTGAGCAGTAGGAAATAGTTGCATGAATAGAGCAAGAAAAATAAAAAGATTGTGGAGCTGTGGTAGACTTTGGTTTTCTCTTTCAATCTTCGCTGCTCATAAGTTCTAATTTCTCTGATGAGCTGGAGACCCTGCAGCCACACTGAAGTGCAGATCTCTTTGCTGGCCGTAGCTCAGTGAGGGCAGGGGTTGAAGGGTGTGCAAGGCTCAGAGGAAGCGTGCACCCGGGTGGCGGGCGCTCCTGGGCATCGAGCCCCTGGGCATCGAGCCCCCGGGCAGGCCAGTGCTCTGGCGGAAAGCTGGCCGTAGGTGTTGATGTTTGTGCTGTTTCTTTAAACTCAAAGACTGGTCCTGCTGAACACTTAAAAGTGGGTTTCCCCCTTTTTCATGAATGATTACTGCTGTGTAGCTTTAAATGTAAAGACAGTGCAGAATAATCCATTTTAAAAGTCTGTAGTGTTTTGGGAACTTATTGTATGTAAGTGTGAAATTCGGGTTAACATTACTTTCAAGGTCGGAGGAAACTTACACTGTATCTTTTTCTTCAATTCAGAGAATGTCTTTCTATTCTGCATGTAATTCAGAAGAACAAACACAAACAAGAATTCTTCTATGAGTTTGAGGGGGGCGTCAAGCTTGGAACAGGAGCCTTTAATTTGGTAAGGAAGCAATTATGTAGAAACCGGAACCTTTTGTAGAAGAACCCAAGGTTTTCAGTGCCTTTTTAAAATTGCATTCAGATCTCGTACTGAATCTCCAGCTGGGTTCGTTAAGTGGCAGAACTGGGCGATTTATTATGTGGTGTTGGACCCGTGGGCCCTTTGGGCAGCTTGTATTGTTCTGCGCATGCTCAGAGGGGCTTTGAGGGTCCAGTGGGAGGCAGGTGGGAGGCAGGTGGGAGCCTGCCTGACTGTGTAGTGGGGGGTTTTTCGGGGGCAGGGGTTCCTGTTCGGTTGCCTTGGGGTTTTGCCGTTGGAGGTTTTGGGGCCGGACTAAGTGCAAGGCCACAGGACTCGAGGAATGGTTTTCAGTGATCTCTGAAATGCAGAGTCTGAACGTATACCTGTGAAATTCTAAGGCAGGCCTAGTGGCAAAGGTAGGAGGCAGGTGATTTGCAGGGTATGGTAGTGACAGACTCTGTCTTAAAATTTAAAAAGGGTTGGAAGATACAGCTCATGGTGAAATTCCTGGGTTCAGTTCCCAGTACTGGGAAAGAAATTCTGGTGTACTTAAGAGATTTAGAAATTTTATTAAGGTTTGATTGGAATTGATGAGAAAATAAAGTAGTGAAGTGAATCATCCTGCAGATATATGGGCCCCCGTGGCTGCTTTGCTGGGAAGGTGTTCTGTGTGGCCGCTGGCTGGGGAAGGAGGCTGACTGGACCTGTGGAAGGGGCGTTCTGCACACTTGCTTATTAAAATCTGCGCATTCACCCGGGACACAGACATCTCCATCTCTTTGTCTATTCTGCGAGTTCTGTCCACACACGTCCTCCCCAGGCTTGCTTGTCACCAGATTTTCAGTTACGTTCTGTCTCTGTCCTTGGTCGTCTAGCAGAGCAGCTGGCCACAGCACATGGGTCAGTACATATTTGCACATCTGGGCATCTTGCTTCGAAGCAGTGTGTAAGCAGGGGCGCCGCCACAGGTCGTGCCTACTGGCGAGAAGCAGTAGAGCCGCAGCTGCCCGCTTCCTGCGCGTGCTGTGCACTGCCCGGAGCACAGCCACGCTCTGGCTTCTGGAGGGAATCACCACCTTCTCCGTGGTAAGCCCCGAGGAATCGCTTTCTTGTCGCTGCATCGTGACTGATAGAGTTACCAAGGCAGTCGGTGTTCCTTGCAGAATCACGCAAAGGACGGGCACTGGATTTCCATTTTAGGAAAAGGTTTTTTAAGGTTCATTGTCATGTGAGATTAATTCATAAATGCTAATAACAGCGTGTGATGATTGAGATCTGAATTGTTGGCAGTTTGCTCTTTACCTGCAGTTGAATGTACTCGCATGTGAAAGCTCTTGTATTTCTTTTCTTACAGATGCTGTCCCTTTTACCAGCAAGGATTATCAGATTGCTGGAATTTATTGGATTTTCTGGAAACAGGGTATAAATTTATTTTATCTGACTTTGGAAAGGGAAGACAAGACATTATTTACTGAACACGAGGACAGAGGAACGTGTCCTCCTGACTGATGTGATAATTGTTGGCAGTTTCTTTCCAGGACAGTAAAGAACTTTGGTCTTTGATCATTGATCATTTCAGGAGTCAGGCAGAGCTATTTTTGTTGAAAATTGAAAATCTCACTTGTCTTACCTGGAGTTAAAAAGTTACGTTTCACTAACATCGCTGCTTGCTGTGTCTTTATTGCTCTTGGATGCTGAAAATATCGTTCCTTAGTGTTTTATTAATTCCAGAGTCGCCTTCTGTAAAAATGAAGAAATTAGGCTAGATTTCTCTAGTAGTCTGTGATTCTAACAGATGAAGTAACAGTATTTTGGATTTTATTTGTTCTTTCAAATTTCACTATGCAAAAGTGAAGACAAGGACCACTGCGAGTCTGGTCTGTGTAGCGAGACCCTGTAGCCCCTGTACTCGAGGCATAAGCAAGTGAAGAAATGCGTTTCCTGTGAATCTCTGTGTGTGTGTGTCGCATTAATCACCACAGTCAGAAGTCTTTCCCGAGGGTGGCTGAGCCCCAAGAGCTGCTGCTGCTCAGCGAGAAAGCAGTTCTGAGACATGCAGTGAGAGCAGGAGCAGCGCCCGCTGTCCTGGTTCTGCGCCGCCGCGGTGTTCATGGGCTACTGTGTAAGAGAGAGAAAAGAAACGGGATGATGAAAGCACGAACTTCCCCTTTCAAAAGCCCAGCAGACATGGGAAGCACAGCTGCCAGCTACCTGCATATAGACCTGAATATATCTTTCCCCCTTCTTTCTTTTGTCCTTTTCCTCATCCTACATTTTTCTTCCCACTGAACAAGTTCTTTCCCTTTCACAGTTTTTTTTTCCCTCTTTTGAGTTTCTTATAACTTTTTGTTACTGTTTTTTTTTTTTTTCTTTCTTTTTTTTGTATTATAGAGAAGGCTCTACAGGGTGTTCAGGGTCTCACTACTAGATCGGACTCTAATGATCTGCCTGTTTACAGCCTCCCAAGAATTGGTATTACAGGCCTGCGCCACCATGCCCAGTCTCAATTGCCTTCTCAGCCAGCCCTGAGGGCAGGGCCGGCACGGCAAGCTGAGGGATCAAATCCCCAGCCCCTGTGCCTGCTTGTTTTGGTTTTTTGTTATACTAATTTTACATGTTTATATATGGTAACATAAACAGCTAACCTGAAGATAATATTGGGCTGGGGAGATGGCTCAGTAGAATAAGTGCTTGTCTGGCAAGTACAAGGGCCTGAGTTCAATCACTAGTTCTGGAAAAAAAAGAAAGAAAGAAAGAAAGAAAGAAAGAAAGAAAGAAAGATAACATCATGCAATATGGTGACCATTATTGACTTCCTAATGAAATTTTGTATCTTTTTTTTTTTAATGTATTTGGTACAGGATCTCACTATGCAGCTCAGACTCATCGTGATCCTCCTGTTTTTAGCCTCCCAGTGCTGTGATTACAGGTGTGTGCCACCACACCTGGACTTGGTGGCCAGCTCAGTGTGACCAGGGGTGGGGCCGGTGTGGCATGCGATGCCAGGTATCAGCCCAGGTCTCTGCACTTGCCTAGGCAGATGCTTAGTCCATTGAGCTATCTTGCCAGCCCTTGTATCATTTCTAATGCTATTTTTCTTTATTACTATTTTGTATTCTTTAAAAAATAAAACAGCTAAAATTTATAAGTGAAATGATGAAACATTTGTATGAGATGAGTACTCCCTTTTTCTCTTCCTAGAATCACATGAGGTAAAGGAATTTGTGATGCTATCTCATGTCAGTTGAAAACATAAAGTCTAGTTAGATATCACCATTATCCTAAGCTCTTTAAAGATTTATTTTTTTAAATAAACCCTCGCTGGGCATGATGGGCATGCCTGTAATCACTGCATTTAGGAGGCTAAGTCAGAGGGATCGCTAGAAGTTCGAGGATAGTCTGGGCTGCAAAGTGAGCTTAAGGCCAGCCTGAATTGCATAGTGAAACCTTGTCTCAAACAAACAAACAAAAAAGACAAGAATGAAATAAACTCACCTTTGAGAGGATTACTTTGTGAATAGATTTTTGCTGGTTGGCGCCAGGAATGGAACCCAAGACCTTGCAAGGGCTTGCGTGCTATATCCCTGGCCCTATGTGAATGTATCTGAATCTGATTTTCCAGTCACAGTTTGTCTTTCTGAAATGAGTTCAATCCCGCAGGAGCTGGGCCTCCTGCAGCTGCGGGAAGGTGCGTCGGGCAGGAGCATGCGCTCGCCGCTGTGCTGCCTCACCATCCTGGCTTTCCACACTTACATCTCCCTGATACTCGGTATGTCCGCATGCTCCGCGCCTGCTCCCTGCCAGTTGGTGACTTTTAACCTGAATAGGGACAGAGTAGAAACAGCAGTAAGAGCTGGTAGATTCTGTTTCCTTTTTGTGGAGTAGGCATGGAAAACAGCGACAGAGGTAGAGGCAGGGGGCTTGTTTCTTTCACTGACGGTTTTTATGTCTTCTCAGCTAAAATTTCTGTACAGATAAAGGGGATCATTTTTTTTTCTTTCCATAATTTTATTGAGAAACAAATAGCAATGAGACAATTTGGTTTTTTTCAAACCAAATTGTTAGCACAGTTTCAATAATTAACACATTGCATACATTCTTCCTAGAAAGGGGATCAGTTTAATCATATTCATAAAATCTCTTGTGCAAAACTAAGTTTTTGCTAAAATAAGTTAATACTGATTATTAAAGACAGAAACTCCAGTTGGGAATCTGGTGCCCACTTGTGCTCATAAGAACTCATGTGATCTAGAGCTGCCTTACCGTGGGTCGTTGAAGAGACTTTTGCTTCCCACGTGTGAAACCCGACCAAATGGTGGGGCCATCCTCTCCATCAGGGTGCAGTGCTATCTGCCAGTGAAACTGGGTGTTACTGTTACGTGCCCGCTGTGTTTCCTGAAGACTGAGGCTGTCCCTGTTATGTTTCTAGGTACAGGAGAAGTGAATGTCGTGGAAGCAGAGAGCCTCCTTGCGCCCTTCCTGCAGCAGTTTCCAAACGTAGGCTTAGCTTTCATGCATGTTTGAGCCCTCGTGGGTCAGCTGGCTGGACTTCTGAACACTGTGGCTCCTTCCTTCCCCACAGGGCTCGCTCATGTTGTTCTACCACGCGCGCATTGAGCTGCTGAAGGGGAACATCGAAGAGGTAATTCTTTCGTGGAGTTACTTGAGGGAGCTGTCTGTGTGGCGGAATTGCTTTACGCAGTCATTTATCATGAACTGGGCTATACAGTCTGAGAAAGGTAATGTAGTGGGTAAACCAACATGTTAGTTTACATACGTGTACTATACCGTGGATTACCTGAATGTAAGTTTTCATGTACGGTACATGGGGGTGCAGTCTAGGTGTAGAACAGTGCCAGCCTAAACTTTTCCAAGACTTTGTGACCAGTTCCTACATCCCCTGTAGACCCTGTGTGAGACACAGCTCCACTGTATGCAGGAGAGTCCTCACCAGAGGAACTCGTTCTCTAGTTCCCTTGAAGAAGCAGGAGGAGGAAAAGCCTTTTTTTTTTTTTTTTTAAATGTCTTTGGTACAGGGTCTCACTAAGCAGCTTGGACTCATGATCCTCCTGTTTCAGCCTTCCCAGTCCTGGGATTACAGGCATGTGCCACCATGCCCAGTCTTGGTGGCCAGCTCAGCACGCCGGGGGTGGGCCTGGTGCTGCCTGTGGTGCCGGGGATTGAATCCTGGTCGCTGTGCTTAGTCCGCTGAGCTATCTCACTGGCCTGATGGTCTAATTTTTAAATTTATATTTACTCATTTACAAATTTCTTTATACATGTATTTGTCATTTGTGTATCCTTTTCTTTGATTTGCCTGTTTATCTTTACCAATTTTCCCATTGAATTGTCTTTTAAAAGATGTTCTAAATTTTTTGTCTGACCAGGGTTAGTTAACCTTTTGTTAGTGATGTGGGTAGCAATACCTTCTCCTAGTCCACCTGGTGCCTGGAACATTAAGGTGTATTTTTCAAGGGAAAACCAGAAATATTCAATGTAGTATTGTCAATTTTTTAAGTGACTGGTGTTTTATATGTTACTTGGAAAGGAATTTCCTAAGTCCTGTGTTAAAAGTGTGAGTACCCTCTCACAGCCTTAGAGACACAGAACTTAACGGTATCGTTCTTTGTAAGGAAAGGAACACATCCTGTCGAATGACTTCATGAGGGGTGATTCTGTT